GTGCTCTGTTCTTAGGTTATGAAGCCAGCCGCAAAATCATGATGGCACAGTTTGACAGCTAACCCCGTAACGCCACGTGTTATTTTGTGCAGTTGGTTTTTTAGCATTTTTAAACGAACTACTTATAATTCACCATGGCCATTCTATAGTGTTTCATTCTACATGCTATGGTTTGCACACACTAATGCACATTTTTATAATGATGCTTTGTTTTATTTATACACGTTAACACTTTACAGTAAGGTTATACTTGTTTAGTTAATGCATTAGGTATTGTGAACTATCAGTGAACAATGGTTCTTAAAGCATTTATTAATCTAGGTCAGGGGTAGGCAAGTTAAGTCCTAGAGAGCCACACCTGCAGAGTTCAGCTCCAACCCTGAAAACAAAACTCACCTGCCTATAGTAATCCTGAAGACATTGATTAGCTTGTTCAGGTGTGTTTGATTAGGGTTGGAGTTGAACTCTGCAGGACTGCGGCTCTCTAGGACTGAACTTGCCTACCCCTGATCTAGGTTAATGTACAAATATACTATTGTTTATTCATTGTTAATTCATTTGTTCATAATACAGTAATGTAAATGCATACAACATAAAATGTTTAAAAAAATTAGTAGCATATGTAAACATTTACAGCATAATGTTAACAAATTGAACTTTACCGTAAAGTGTTACCATTATTTTTTTATTATTGTTGGGGTGTTTTTATGTAGCTAAACCTTGGCCTGAGGGTCTAGAAATGTACAGTATGGCAGTATTATATTTTGTGGCATATCATCATAGCATTTGAAATGTACTGACTGTAAATATTCTATTTGATTCACCTCTGAAAGTGTCCCATTTATATAGTTGAAGAACAACAACTCTCTACAAAACTGAATAAAAGCAGGATTGTATTTATTTTTTATTTTTTTTAAACTATGCATATTTGATTTATTTTAGTGTCATTAAAGTGATTTGAATTAACTTGATACTAAATCATAGATTTCTGTGGGGAATTATTAATTGTATTATCATTAAATGTGAATTAAAGTCTGACAAATCACATGTAAACCACACTGTGTAACAGTTTGGATTTTATTTATATTTTAGTATTTATTTCATTTCTAAGCTATAAAAACAGATACAAAACAAGTGTTATGCCATTAATTAAAGCCATTTTCCTTTCAAATATTATTCACACTTTAAGTCATTATACATACGCCATTACTAAAAAAAACTGTATTAAGCCAAAACGTAACTAATAAACATCCATAGGTGACAAGAAGATAAAAAAAAAGTACAAATAGACCTTCATTAAAATGTTCAGATAGCATCTTCCACAAGAGGGCGCTGGTTAGGGACGCTGGATGGTAGAGATGAGGGATATGACCTCCCTGGCACCTGGAGCAGTCAGGGTTTACAGCGGCTACAAAATAACAATCCATTTCATCCGTTTTAAAGAGAATTTCTAGAATTTCTGCTATTGATCATTTTGCCTGGAAGGAGGCTCTTACTCTTTACTTTTTTCATTATTTAGGTGTAAGAATCTACTGCCAGTAGGCCTACATTTCATAAAAAATTCCAAAAACAATATATATATATATATATATATATATGTAGGAGACATGCAATTGTCCTATAATAATAGTACTGTTTAAGTGCGAAAATTCTATTATATACTCTTAATATTGAATTCAATTAAAGATGAGAGTTCTGGCATTAACAGAAATGAAAATGAATAAAGTATTAAAATTCCTGCAAAAATACTGAAAAGGCGTCTTTCTATAATACTTAATTCTGATTGGTCAATCTCAATATTCAGCGGCCTGTTATGTAAGGGATATTCAAAAAGGCTAGCCGTGCATTAAAGGATTTTGAATGCACGACGCGAAGTAAATGGTTATTTGCCAAGTTATAGACAAGTTAAAACTAGTATTGACCAAATATTTGACCAAATGGGTAAAAATGACAGTTATTTTCATCAGTTACGGCACGTTAGCATTCTGCCAGCTTCAAATCATACACAGAGATGAAATAGTGCGGTAAGAACACATTTATCTGAATAAATTATAGCATGTATTTCAATGAATTATAGATCGATAGGGAGGGAGAGAGAGAGAGATGACAGTTGTGTGTGTCTGTTTGCTGCGTCTGCGCGTCTCTCGACAAACAATTAACTTACTTCAAAAACAGCGATTTTATCACCTCGTTGCTGGGGAATATAATGTAGCGATCTAGTATCTAGGCTATTTTATTAATGAAAATCACGGGGAAGCGTGTGTTATGTGAGTGTGTGCAGCACAATCAGCGATCTCTGACCTCTCTCTCTCTCTCTCTCTCTCTCTCTCTCTCTGTGTGTGTGTGTGTGCGCGCGAGTGATTCGTGTTGGTTAGTGTGCATCGATTAAAGCAGCGCATTAATATAGAACGGTGATTAAACTGACTTGGAACTACCTGTGCATTAAACGGTTTTACTGCATACCTGCCAGCCAATCAGAATCCAGTATTCCGACAGACCATGGAATAATTCTTCAATATTCACCGTCATCTGATGGTAAAGCTTTATATCTGTTTGCTCATCGAGTGCTTAACAAGCGTTTTTTTGTTGAGTTTGTGTGAAACAACACAAATGCCACTTTCGCC